TTAATTTTCATTGATTTCTTCAATCATTTTTTATATAAAATATATATATATTTATATATATATGTTTATTAGGATTCTAGTCCAACACGTTCTGATAGACATACAGAAGCAATGACATCTCCTGCACCAGAAATAGATGAACCATTTGAAGATGAATCTGATTTACTTGGCAATGACAATGATATTAATCAGGAAGAAGAAGAAGAAGGGGAAGAATTATTTGGGGATAATATGGAAGCGTAAATTTTTATTTTTATTATTTATTTATATTATTTTTTTATTATATAAAAATACTATATAATATGAAATTTGATTTAATATTTTAGTGATTATCGTCCTATGCCAGAATTAGATAGATATGATCCAGATGTAGTAGATGATGAGGATTATTCAGAAATGTCTCAAGGAGAACGTGCAGCTGCTGAAGCTGCTATGCATAAAAGAGATCGGGCAGCAGGCATTATCAGAGATGATAGATATTTACTTTATGGTATTTTTTTAGTTTTATAATAATAATAAATATATTTTTTCAAATATAATATATATTTTTAAATATTTAAGATGAAAGTGATGAAGAAGAAATGCAAACTCGTAAAAGACGTATGGCTGAAAAAGCAGCAGTAGGCGAAATTGAAGACACAGAAGTAAGATTCTTATCTGCTATCATATATCACTTATTTTATTATTACATAAAAATACATAAAAAATTACATAAAAATATTTTATCTGTATATTTATTTTTATATTTTATTTATTTACAGATGATTGAATCTATTGAAAATTTAGAAGATACTAAGGGTCATTCAGTTAAAGAATGGGTGTCTATGTTAGGACCCAAAACTGAAATTTCTAATCGTTTTAAAAGTTTTCTTCGTACACATACTAATTCAAAAGGACAATACATGTATAAAGAACGAATTCGTCATATGTGCGAGAGTAATCAAGTATATTTTCTATTAATCTTATTAATTCTCTAATAATAATCATATTAAGATATAAAAAAAATTTGTTATTTTTTAATAGTCTAGCTTTATTGTGGAATTCCCTATACTTGCTAGTAAAGAACATGTATTGGCATATTTTTTACCAGAAGCACCGTTTCAAATGTTAGAAATATTTGATGAAGTAGCAAAAGAATTGGTATTAACTATATTTCCTAGTTATGAAAGAGTTACAAGTGAGATTCATGTTAGAATATCAGAATTACCATTGATAGAAGAAATTCGTACATTTAGGTAAAATATAGTTATTTATATTTTTTTATAAAGTATATTATTTTATAAAAAATAATATATTTATAATAAAAATTAGGAAATTACATTTAAATCAACTAGTCCGTACTCTAGGAGTTGTTACTGCAACAACAGGAGTATTACCACAATTGTCTGTTGTAAAATATGATTGTACAAAATGTGGATATATACTTGGTCCTTTTGTACAAAATCAAAATACTGAAGTTAAACCTGGTTCATGTCCTGAATGTCAAAGCATTGGACCTTTCATGGTATATATTATTTATATATTTATTAAATTTATTTTGTATATTTATATTTATATTAATTACAGATTAATATGGAGCAAACAATATATAGAAATTATCAAAAAATTACGATTCAAGAATCACCAGGCAAAATTCCTGCAGGAAGAATTCCTAGAAGTAAAGAATGTATTCTTTTATCAGATCTCTGTGATCGTTGTAAACCTGGGGATGAAGTAGATGTTACAGCTATTTATACAAATAATTATGATGGTTCTTTGAATACAGAACAAGTAAAAGTTATTTAATATGCTTATTTTAAAAAATATTATGTTAATTACTTAATATTTATTTGTTATTTAAGGGTTTTCCAGTATTTGCAACGGTTCTTTTTGCTAATCATTTACAAGTAAAAGATTCTAAAGAAATTGTAGAATCTTTGACCGAAGAAGATGTTTCTAGTATTATTAGTTTAAGCAAAGATCATCAAATTACTGATCGCATTATTGCAAGTATTGCTCCTTCAATTTATGGTCATGAATATACAAAAAGAGCTTTAGCATTAGCAATATTTGGAGGAGAGCCAAAAAATCCTGGTATTTTCATTTTCAATATTGCTTTCTACATATTTTTTTCTATATAATAATTTATACAAAATTCTTATAATTTAGGTAACAAGCATAAAGTCAGAGGAGATATCAATGTGTTATTATGTGGAGATCCAGGAACAGCTAAATCTCAATTCTTAAAATATGTTGAAAAAATTGCACCAAGATCAGTATTTACAACAGGTCAAGGAGCTTCAGCTGTAGGATTAACTGCTTTTGTAAGAAAATCACCAACAACTCGTGAGTGGACATTAGAAGCTGGTGCCTTGGTTCTTGCTGATCATGGAATTTGTCTTATTGATGAATTTGATAAGGTACATTTTGTAAAATATTTGTGATAGAATATAAACATTATGTTTTATATTATATTTTTAGATGAATGATCAAGATAGAACATCTATTCATGAAGCTATGGAACAACAAAGTATTTCCATTTCAAAAGTTGGAATTGTTACATCACTTAATGCTAGATGTTCAGTAATAGCTGCATCTAATCCCATTGGAGGAAGATATGATGCTAGTATGACATTTTCAGAAAATGTAAGACATATATGAATATAAAAAAAAAATATATTAAGTTTATATTTTTATATTTTTTTTCTTTTTTTATTTAGGTAGATTTATCAGAACCAATTTTATCTCGTTTTGATATTCTTTGTGTGGTAAAAGATGAAATAGATCCTATGCAAGATCGACATTTGGCTAAATTTGTTGTAAACTCTCATATAAAACATCATCCAACAAATGCAGGAAAAGTAATATCTACTATAGATAATACACATGATATATCTATTCCACAAGATCTTTTAAAAAAATATATAGTTTATGCACGACAAAACATTCATCCTAAATTAACGAATATTGATCAAGATAAAGTAGCAAAATTATACAGTCAATTAAGACAAGAAAGTTTGGTAAGTTAGAAATATTTATGTAGTATTTATAAAAATTCTCAGAAATATATATTTTAACGATTAATAGGCCACTGGAAGTTTACCAATTACCGTACGACACATAGAAAGTATTATACGTATGGCTGAAGCAAGTGCTAAAATGCATTTGCGTGATCATGTTCAAGAAACTGATATCAATCTTGCCATTAGAATGATGCTTGATAGTTTTGTTGATACACAAAAATATTCAGTAATGAAAAGTATGCGCCAAGTAAGTACAAAATATTGCAAATATAATAAATATAATATAATAAATACAACATATACAATTTTATTGAAATTGTAACAAATGTTTTATTATTTTTTAGACCTTCCAGAAATATTTATCATTCCAAAAAAATCATACTGAACTTTTATATTATATACTTAGACAGCTTACATTAGATACTTTAGCGTTTCAAAAAGCTATTCGCGGAAATCGTATTACAACAATTGAAATTTCGGAAAAAGATCTATTAGATCGGGTATAAATTATTTATTTATTTTATAAATTTGTAAATTTCAATAATTAAAATCTTTCTTTTCTTTTAGGCTAAACAAATTGATATACACAATCTTCAACCATTTTATGAAAGTGATATTTTCAAATCAAATAATTTTATTTATGATTCGAAAAGAAAAGTAATAATACAAACACTTCCTGAGACTATTGATGACTGAAAAAACACTAAAAATAATTAGGAATGCAATCATAATTTTATTTACAACATGATATTGTTCATCATATTAACATAATTTTTACAATGAATTATATTTTGATATATTAGTTCAATAAAAAATTAATTTGTTTTACTAAATTTTATAACACTTATATTTCTTGATTTTATATAAGTAAATACTTTCTAATTTATGAAAATGTTCTTGGTACAAAATTATGACCTTGTTTAGTTACAAATATTGATATAATTAAGAAGTATTGTATCATAATATATATAAATAACAAAATTCTATTACAAGACGCGTTATATAAATTATTATTTAAAATTATGTTACATGTAAGTACTTTTTAGATATCTTAATTTTGTACAATGAAATTATTATATATATATATTTATTTATTGTATATGAACTATTTAAATATTTCATAAATATTTAAAAAATGGATCTATTGAAAGATTTTTGTTTTTT